AGGTTGCTGTCCTCTGAAGATGCCGGCCACAGAGACTGGCGAAACGTCAGGAAGAACAACCTTCAGAACACGGCCAAAGAGCCTGAAAAACCCAGAACAACCATTAGATCCCGGCCGTGAAAGCCTTTGCGAATATAAAGAATTGATGCTTTTGAACTGTGGTGCTGGAGGAGACTCTTTAGAGACCCCTGGACTGCAAAGAGAACAAACCTATCCATTTTGAAGGAAATCAACCCTGAGTGCTCACTGGAAGGACAGATCCTGTAGCTGAGGCTCCAATACTTTGGAAATCTCATAAGAAGAGAAAACTCCCTGGAAAAGCCCCTGAGGTGGCGAAAGTGTGAAGGCAAGAGGAGATGGGGAGGACAAAGGATGAGATGGTTGGACAGTGTCACCGAAGCTACCAACATGAATTTATTTATTTATTTAACTTATTTAATTAATATGCCGTCCACTTTACCCAAAGGTCTCTGGGTGGCTTACAATAATTAAAATACAATAAAAATACAATAAAAAGATAAAACAATTAAAATATAGTTAAAATAGATACTCTTAAAAATTGCCAACTCTATGAGGCAGTGGAAGACAGGAGGGCCCGGCGTGCTCTGGTCCATGGAGTCATGAAGAGTCGGACATGACTTAATGACTAATCAACAACATGGCTAGTGAAAGTAAACTTTGTAACCACTGATGAATGATTTGCTAGTTTCCAGTAATCATGGTTAAAATTAACCACAGTTTGTCAAGTCTCAGAAAACATGGTGATCTGTGACTTATTAAAACTGGACTCAAAAGCTTCTGAAGCTTTCCATACAAATCTTCTGTTGATGGTTACATTTGGGTTAGGGTTGGGAGAGGTTAGGCTTAATCTTCTATCTATGAACTGTGTTTCCCTGTATTTGAACCACGACATACTAACCCAGTATGATTCTTTTAATATGACACTTCTATGATGTGCATTATATAAAAAGAAATATTTCTAGTTTCAGAAATATTGCTTCATGCCATGCCAATTTGTAAAGTTGAAATTCATCAAGTTGCAGCACTACTAATGTTCCCAGCAGAAAATAACTGTTACAGCAATGTAGGAAACGATATTAATTTGATAATACATAAAATGTGTAAGAGAGTCACATTTTAATATTATGTAGAAATCCCTCTTCCATAAAAGAGGCAACAAATAAAATTGCCAGATAGACCTCACTTTTGTATAATTATCACATCTTTATATAATTATCACAATTATCATATTATAGCAACAATGACTATGATCTTATCTGTTAGTCTACATAGGAGTTGCAGTTAATAATGACACTTGTCTCAACAACAATCAATCCTTTCTCTATACCAGTGGTTCTTAACGTGGGCGATAATGCCCCCCAGGGGGCGATTTCATTTTTCAAGGGGGCGGTAGAACGAAAAGGGGCAGCGTGGGGGCACGGGAGCAGAAGGGGGCGGTAGGGGGGCGCTGGAGCAAGCCAAACCTGTGAAGATGGCTGCAGCCTTTTTACAGTGTGCATGAATATATATTTTCCTCCAATTTTAATTTAGTTTCAGACTTTTTGTCTTGAAATTTTTAGTTCCTGCATTTGTTTTTATGCCCTTTTTATATTTCTTTTTGCGTCTTAAAATTCACTTGCAACTAAATCATTAAATGTTATTTTTTGGGGGGCATTTCATTTTCTTGGAATTTAATTTTGTTTTCAGGGTTCATTGGATTTAAGTGTCTTAAATAAACAAACAAACAAACAAATAAATAAGATATCATTTATCTTATCAAGGGGGGCGATGATAACTTCCTCAATGGCTCAAGGGGGCGTTTCTTTCAAAAAGGTTAAGAACCACTGCTCTATACAAATGTTCCTTAGTGCTGCTAAACACTTCATATTTGTCAAGGTGTGCAAAATGCTGTTTTAAAAGACCAGTTTACCTGGAGATATAACTGGTCACCTGGCTTGCTTTGAACTTGTATAAAAACATTAACTCAGCACTCATCTTCTGATTGTGATCCAAAATTTGTAATGGAAAGAGCTAAAATATTCACATTCTCACTGAAGAAAACTACTTTCCCCAATTTAGCATATTGAGCCTTTGCTTAATATAGTCTGATTTTGCAGGCTCAGTGACAAATAAAATTGGGGCACTTTTTGTGTTACATATTTATAACAAAATATAGTTAACATTTATCTATAAGACCTGACTTGATAGCAAATGCAATAGAACTAGCTCATTCTCAGAGGCCACAACCTTTTGTGATGTAATCTTACTTACTTTTCCAATGAGTTTTGAACTGCTGATGGAAGAGGTCGTGCCAGGATTTTTTTTAAAATTGCAGGTATTTTCCCTTTTTGTAGAGGCATGATTTATTTTAAGGCAACAAGAGCTTTATGTGATAAATAGTTGGAGCTGTTATCAATATGCTGACTGGCACGCTTAATGCACAACCTTTCCTTCAACCCTGCTAGACAATCAGTAGCTCATCACCCCTACCTACCTCTGTCATAAATCTCATATGTACTTTATAGCCCATATTTTTTCCTCTATTACTCCCTCTTGTTCATTCCTTGCCAACTTCTTTTTCTCTTCCTTTTCTCTCAACACACCCTCACATATGTGTTGTTCATAACCAAATAAGAAGAGAAAGTTACCCTGGTGGCAGACTAGAGTTACTGGCATTATTTTATGACTGAAAATGGCAAAGGTTTTGGACCTACATAGAAAACAATAATATAAGAAAATAATAATCTTACAATAGTATTGTAACTGCAGAGCTGGAAGGGACCCTATGGATCATCAATTCCAGCCCCTGTCAAGGAGGCACAGCGGGGAATTGAACTCGCAGCCTCTGGTTTTCACAGCCTAAATTGCTGAGCAGCCTCTAAAGACACCCATCAATCATAGTGACAGATAATCTCTCCCTCTTATCACAACAATATATCACAACAAAAAAACACGCTGATCATCATCATCACCCTATCTCCTGAAAAGGACAAAAGCTGTTCCCACAGCTATAAATACTCAATAATCCAAAAAACAGCAACAGAGCATAGACTGAGTTCCTACTCCAGTCCTCTGAGAATGCGGCCACAGAGACTGGTGAAACATCAGGAAGAACAACCTTCAGAACACGACCAAAGAGCCTGAAAAACCCACAACAACTATCAGATCCTGGCTGTGAAAGCCTTCGAGAATATATCCTCAGATAATTAAACCTCCTGATCTGAAATGCATCTTTCCTAGACTGATAGGGAGAGCAGCCTTCTCCAATCTCATAGGATAATGGTTCTCAACCTTGGATAACTGATGTGTTCTTGGACTGCAACTCCCAGAAACCCTGGCCAGCACAGCTAGTGGTGAAGGCTTCTGGGAGTCGCAGTCCAAGAACACATCAGTTATCCAAGGTTGGACACCATTATCCTACAAGATTGGAGAAGGTTGCTCTTCCATTTTATTACATTTCTCAGGTTTTTATTATGGAGAGGTAGCTTTAAGCTATTTTTCTAATCGATCTTCCTATCGACCTAGGAAATAATGTATTTCAGATCAGGAGGGCTAATTATTTGAGGATATTTTAGACACCACAAACATTAGTACAGTGATATTTCAAGTAGCCCTACTCACACACACTTTTATGCATTTTGAGTACATTGATCACAAATATATTATTCTTTGTGACCAATCAATGCCTTAACAACCTTTACTAAAAATCTTGAATTTCATTATTAGTATTGACTTTTTCATGTAATACTTTATATTCCATTGGTAGTCCAAAATATAAAATGATTTTTAAGAGCTCAAGATAAGATCCCAAAGCAAGAACTGGAGAATAAACACGGTACCTCTGTTAATAGCAGCATTCACCAGAATTCACCAGAAAAATAAACCCAAGACAACATTCATTAATCACTCTGTAGCAAATGAATTAGCACCCTGAAATATATTGGAAGTACTTTTGCTACTGAATTAGTTGTTTGTCTTTCTCTCATGAAACAATATCATTAAGATGATCCAAGCTCGAATCGTCCCAGTTTTTGTTTTTAATTTTATTTTTTGAAGATGCTCACAATTGGATTCTAATTTCCTTAGTACATAATATACACATTCTCATTTTTTAAAAAAAACATAACAAAAAGCTTACTGTGGTCTTGATGCTTCAGCTTGGTCTGTCTGGAGTTTCTCTCCTCCCTCTACTTCCATTGTGCAGTAAACAATGCGGTTGGGAGCCAGTGACTTTAAGCCTTGAACCTCCATTATAACAATCTAAAGAAAGAAAACAATGTCTCAATAATATAGAACAGGGAATTGAGGACACATGCTACAGCCTTCTCACCAACTATCAGAAATGCAGGGCTCAATCAATGCTTGATTTTTTAATTTTTTTAAAACATTTTCTTTGCTGTTTTACAAAGCCCACATGTCGTCCTTTTCCTTGCAACTCACCCATATATTGTTCAGGTAAAAACGTTGGTGTTTTTTATGTCAGCTATTTATGAGTGTTTAACTAACACACTGAAAATAGTACACTCTGAGTTTAGAAGCAGGCAAATAAGTAGATCATCTTCTATTGTGAGCAACACATTGAAGTTTAAAAAAATAAAACCACTCCCCAACATCAAACCATTTTGGTTTCACACAATGTGATTTGTACCAGAGTGGGTCCACGCTTTGCCCTGTTATCAAACAACTGAGAGGTTCAGATTTGATAGTCAATGGCCACAATCCACTGCCACTTTATGCCTCCATAAGAAAATACACATTCTAAATTTTGGTAGCAAATAGCTTCTCATTACTGAGGTGCTGATTGAATTCCTAGATGTGTGCCCAACTGTGCACATTTGTAGGAAAGCAACTAGCAATTGTTACTAAGTAGAAATTTGCTCCTAACAGTTATGTGATTTCCTTTATGCAAGCATGCATCAGTGATAGGATTCTGGCATCATTTTTAGGACGAAAGGGTTGTGGTGTCTGATTTCAGTTCCAGCTGATAACTGATCAGAACTATTAACAGTACGAATCATTTGCCTGCAGAAGATCTGTGGAGCAAAGCCAGTGACTACAATTCTGGAAGAGGCACACCTAATCAAGTCCCTGATTGAAGAAAGTCTGAAGATTTTGATGCAGCTAACATAAAATGTATCATTCCAAATTTTATTTATGTTAAGTGGGATGATTTGTTTTTTTAAAAAACACAAGCAAACAAATGGGTTATGTGATTCAAGCACTTCTACGGCAACCTCTAAATGTCTACAGCATATCTGAGAAGAAAAACAGAAAATGTATTAATGACTTGAAGCCAAGAGGCAATTTAACAGTTTTGCTGCTGTCTTCCACCACCACCCTTGCCATCATCTTTATACTGTTTTGCTGTAGAGGTTTGCTTTGGAAACCTACTTTACCTTTAAAACAAACTGTTGGATTCTGTACAAATGTTTTTCTCCATCAAAGCTTTAGGAATAGAGGCAAATAAATAATCACTCGATACCACCCTCAACTCACTAATACGCATCATTATTCTCACTGCAGTCCTTGAATAAAAATGTGCAAGTCGCATTAGGTAGAATATTAGTTGAAGTGCCTATGTTGTTAATAAAGTTACAGAATATGAATAGAACCTCTAGATTTAAAGTTATGTTGCACTATATTTATACAAAATAATATTTAAAATGTATCTATTATGTTGTATCCAAGTAAAAAGATGAGCATTATTATAACAGCGGAGTCCTCATGTTAACATCCACATAATCTTTTTCTTCTTCCTTTTAAAAATCAGGTTATTATACCTCTCAGTTCTATTACTGAGAAATGGGCATCACCCAAGACTACGCAAGTTACTTCCAAGTTAAGAGATTATTCCCAAACAATACCAGTCACAAAAAATATACATAATTCACGAGCTGTATAAAAATATTAAAACTAATTCTGTCAGTATCAAAAACACACAATGGAAAGGTTGTTGACTATCACATCTACATAATGTTGATTTAACGGAGATTTGCTTAAGAGTAGCTAAGGACTACTGAATCTTTCGTGTTACTAAGAGCAGTATGTGGGTGCATTACCCACATGTAGAGAAAACTATTTGCCTTGCTGTGCTCCCATTCATATAATCAGTCAGAAGGAGACCACAATAGCATGTACTCCTCCACACCACTGCATCAATAGTCTTCAGTAAGGAACGAGCAGTAAGAGCTCAGCTGAACAAAACTCTAGCTCTGCTACACTGCATGCAGGAATCAGGTGCTGAAAAGTCACACTACATATTGAATAGTATAGTGGCCTGTCTTTTCAGGAATAGAAACCATTGGTAATATGGCTCTGAACATGATCTTTCTCAGGGTGAACTCAGAACCATGATCAGTATCTTAAAGCTATTTAGACACCATTGTTTTCAGTCATTAAACCAGGAATACTCCTATTCTGTTTCCCTCAACAGAAACTGGCACAACATTCTTAGTCTACCATCCAAGAAACTAGAGAAAATAAACAATGCATCTCAGACCACTTTTTCTCAAGATATCTTTCTTTCTTCTTTTTAAAGTTTTGGGGAAAACTTCAGAGGCCTTAGCTCATCCACCATAAATGAAGCAGCAAGCAGCTTCAATACATAGCGGAAACAATGAACTGTTTCTTCCCAGTGTTAACAAAGCTATTTTTGTTTAGAGCTCCTTCTACTCAGGCTGTTTCTTGGGCTACTCATCATTTCTATCTGGTATGTTGTTTGTGGAACATGAAATAGCTTTATGGACAGAAAAGGGACATCTTAATATGTATATTTTTTTAAAAAATCTTTTTCTTCAAGGTAACTCTAAAGTTTCCATAAATGCGCACTTGTCCCCCACATTCACTTAAAAGATTAGCTATCAAGTTTTACAATAAAGTACAAGTGGCTAAAATAGATTTTTTTAAAATATGGATTGAAATGCTACTACTAATAGAACTTCTCAAACTGAGAGAAATAGAGAGGCAAACATCAACATGACACAAGCAGAGCTTCCCACCACAGCAACTGAATATGCTATAACAATACAATATCTATATGAAAAAGTATAGAAGAATGGTGTTGAGATAATACAAGGAAAACAAAATTGTTGTGGATTTTTCACCCACTATATATAGCCTGCTAACAAATTGGAAAAATCAGAAAGACAAAGCAAAACACATGGTGGCCAATTAATTTTATTTTAACAGAGACACAAAGCCAGCAACTTGACAAAATACACAGTTGTTTGAATAAGTAAAATAAAAACTGTGTTTTCCTCAGAATCCCTAAATCCCTATGTAGTTTGAATTAGAGCAACCCACTCATCATGTCAGAAAGGGATTCTTCTCCCATCAAAAGAAGCAATGATGACCAAGTTACACAAAAAACTGAACACTCAGTTCAGAGCCTGTGTGATAAGATAAGAAAGCAGGAGAAGTCTCCAGAATTCATCTAACCGTCTCTTTAAAACAGTGTATGTTTCTTAGGTGTTTTCTGTGTCAAAATTCGCTCTCCGGGTTCGTAGTTACTTTAATCATAACTGACTATCTGAGGCCAGCCTTGCTGTGGAAAGAGCCAGCTTTATTTCTAAGTTTCCCCTTTACCCTTTGCTGAGAAGTTACAGATCATAATGCTGTATATTTCAAATAGTTAGTCTTCATACAAAAATATTCTACATTTTCAATATTATTTTCAACTAAGGATAATCCATTCATGTTATATCCAGCAGTGGAATTTACACTGCATAAGACTGATGATAATATAATAAGCTGTGGTGGTTTCTCATAAATTAGACATTTCTGATTATACTAATGACAGCAATTTTTGGAATTTAAAGACTTCCCCCCATGATGAAAGAGATTCTGAGAGAGTCCCAGGACCTTTGGGGGAAGGGGTTAGAAAATTTTAATTTAAGTAAGTCTGCTACTGGACTTTAGTCATTATTTGTGCCTCCTGAACCACATTCTTAGCTACAGTAATGTGCCAACAAGAGAAGGACTCAGATGTGTTTTCAAATAGTAAGCACCACAATAAGACCTAACTTGAAAATAAGCCCTAGTATGATTTTTCAGGATGCCCGTAATATAAGCCCTACCCCCAAAATAAATCCCAGTTAAGTGAAACCCAGCCCTCCGCCATTGTGCAGCAACCAGAAGATGATGGCATGACTGTATCTGAATAAATGTAGATCGTAGCAGTGGAATGCAAATTAATAAGACATCCCCTAAAAATAAGCCCTAATGAATTCTTTGGAGCAAAAATTAATATAACATCCTTTCTTATTTTCGGGGAAACATGGTATTTTGTGTGAGGAGGTGTCCTGCAGAGCTCCCCTTTAATACCTCCCTCTCTTTTAGGATACAGCAGAATACCCCAGGTTAGAGTGGTCAGGTAACCATCACTCTGAACTCCACAATCCTCTCAAAATTGTTATCATTCTGCAAACCAATTTTGGCCTTCCACTTCAAGAAAACCTCCCATCATTTCTGTTCCTGTTCACCCTTGTTTCAATTCTTCTAGTTTATTCTGAGTTCAACAAGATGTACTTTGCAGTTCCTGCCTTTCTGAACTCTCATGGAGATGTTGGATACGATTAAGTGGGTGGCAGCAACTGTTTATTTTCTCTTTCTTAAACAGTGAGGGCTTCACTTCAGCAGTGACAATAACATCAGGGTTGCCTAGCTTGATCTGATGATCACAAGGCCAAGGCGATCTGTGAGGCATAGTCTTCAAGGTGGGAATGAAAAAGCTATGATACATCTGACAAGTGCAAGGTCCCAGGAGGATCACCTTAAAGAACAGTGGCTGCCTTGAGCAACTAACTGAGAAATGAAGAAGAGGATACTGAGAGACAGTATTATTAACGGGGGTCACCTGGTAGCACACTTTTATGGGACTGAATCAGATACACACAGACACAAACAAAGAAAGTCTGTAACTAAGTCCCTTCATAACTCATCCTGTCCCTATTCTAATGAGGTCATCATCTATAGTAGAAATGTCAGAAAAACACAATGAAACTTTATTTGTTCCTCATGAAACATTACTACAGTCCTTGCTAGAAAGTAAACCCTTAACTTGAAAGCAACTTTATCATGTACAGTCTCACGGCTTCTAACACCACTTTGATGTGCATTTAGATTGTTAGACTACATTTATGAATTTGAAAGAAGCTTACCCTTCGTAGATAAATACAAAAATTCTTCTAAACAGCTTGTTTCCACTGAAAAACTCTACAGCCCACAAGATCAATCCTCCAAAACAAGCATCAACAGTAACAACAAACCAGAACGGTGGCAGATATATTGATATTGGGACTTATAAATTACTATAATTTGTTCTCGTTATTCTCTTCTTGAAAATAATAAGCAATCAATGCAACAGAACTCTTCCATCCTATTTCAGATGATTCCCCCCTCCTTTTGCACAACCATCCAATATGACACAGCCCTTGCTAGTCAGGATGGCCATCCAAACAGCTGGACAAACATTTTGCAATGCTGAGAGGTCTCCAGAGCGGAAGAAGCAAAGAGAAAGGCTGGCCATGCAAACTGCCTTCTACTCACATAACCATCTGATTCACTCTACATTTTCAACTTTTCTCAAACCCATTACTGCCATATGCAGCGACCCTGACACTTTGACAGAAAGTGAGAGACATTAATCTTTGGATCACACATATTCCTGTTCATAGTCCTTTAAGTAACTATATGGATGAGTGAGAACAGACTGAAATGGGAAGAAATGATGCATAATAACACTGACCTTCCAGAAATGTACCATTTCGGACCACTGGTGAAAGAAAGAAGTGCCACCCATTTTTTAAAAATAAAGATTAGTGGAGTTGGGGTGGGAGTGAAAAAATGCATCTCCCAGCTAGTTAAAAGCTTGTACGGAGGTGTATGGAGTTTTAGCTCTCCTTGGCATGCCTATAATGCACAACACAGTGTCCAAGTAATAACATACTGTTTCCCTCATTCACATGCTCAGAGGAAGGGAGAAGGGCTAACTCTGTGGTGTACTACACTTCTTCTGAAGTGTGCCAAACATTTGTAGAGTCAGGTGTGATTACAGAGATTATTTCTTGCTCTCCTCCCCAGTTCCAATCTCAGGAGATGGGCAGGAACACAGCCTGAAAAAGTTAGGGTTATCTGGCTTGGGGATATTGAGAGCTGAGTAGGAGTTTTTCATAGGACTGCTCTCCATGACAAACAGATCTATGGAGCTGCGTAACCATGAGCAGCAAGGAGTGGTGCTAGCATTCTGTAAGTACTCTTTAATAAAGACGGGAGCAAACTGGAAAAAAAAGACAAATCTGTGATTTGTGGCTACCCACGGACCACCCACAAACCCCAGAAAAATGAACTGTTCTGTGGTATATTTCTCTGGTTCATGTCTGGGGGGAGGGGACCCTAATGCTTCCACACCTCTGCTGCCCCACTGCCCCCTTACCACTGCACCCATGGCCTCCCTACCTGATCCTGCTGCTGCTACCATCTTCAGAGACAGCAGCCCAGGTTCCCTTCTGGGACCTGGGCCTGCTGTCTCTGCACATGTGCACATCTATCAAGCTGATAAGCCAGTGCATTTGTAATGACAGCAGGCCTGGCTCCCGAAAGAGAAGCCAGGCTGCTATCTCTGAAGATGGCAGTGATGGAGGCAGTGGTGGAGGAAGCAAGAGGACCAGGTAGGGAGGCGATGGGAGCAGTGGAATGTCTCCAGCAAAAATAAAACTGAAAGCAAAAGTGCACGGCCTCTTAAGGAGCCACGGTTCCCTCCCACCCCAGGATGTGTCCTCGTTCAGTTGAAATTGGGAGCATGGAACCTCCATATTCTCCAGCATGGGACGACTCTACATTCTCATGCAGAGCTATATTTCTATGTGCCGCTTGAACTCTCTTTTTGTGAGAAGAGGGCAGTTTTCCTTTTGCAATGGGGGGGGGAGGGGAGGACTGCAGGATTAGAGAGAGAGGGGGGGCTCATCAAGCAGCATTTTTCACTCATCACAGACGAGTGGTCGAGTGCATTTTTCAAACCCTGACAATCTACATTTATTCAAATATAGTCATGTCATCTTCTGGTTGCTGCACAATGGTGGAGGGCGGGGTTTCACATAACTGGGGATTATATTTGGGGTAGGGCTTATATTACGAGCATCCTGAAAAATCATACTAGGCCTTATTTTCAGGTTAGGTCTTATTTTAGGGGAAACAGGGTATTATAGCTTTACAAAGGCAACATGACATTCCCACAAAAGATGAGCTGTGTAAATGAGAGCCGTCTGACAGTCCAAAACATTTATTTAAAATGTTGCTATCAAAAGGAGCAAAGATTTACATATATTTGCCCTTCATAGCCTAAGAAGCTAGAAATGTTCTGCCAGCATCACATTCATGAAACGTCTGGTGGAGTATCTGCCAGAAGATAATTCTGAGATGGGAATGGGAAAAAAAAGCACCTGTCTTTGGATATTCTAAAAGTACGTGTAAAACTGGGCAATCCCAGGAAGACTGAATATCCCAGCAATAATTACATGGTGTGTACACTTACCTCCAAAGTGAATGACAGCACCACATCAGATTTTGACAGCTGAACCTCATTTTCATCTCCTATGTCCAAGAACGCTGAGTTTTGTGATCGCTTTAACTTCTGTAGTTTAAATTCTGGTCCACCTTTAGACACTGGAAGACTTTCCAAATTTGCCATCAGCAAATTCACTGAAGAACGCAATTCTTCTATATACATGTGTTCCATTTCTTTGGATATAAACTTTGGAAATTTTCTTTCCTGGAAAATATTTTTGAAAATCCAGAACTTAAGTTACTGCTCAGCCATTGTATGCTTTAAAGTTCTGTTTATTGAGATCAAGTCCTATTAACTAGCATTTACTCTTACATAAATATAAAATACACTCACAGATGAAAAAGCAGAGGAGCTTTTTTTATGGGCTTACTTAGGAAGATACTGTGATTAAAACAGCACAGTGAAATGTATGTAACAGGTTTTCCACATATCCGTTTCATGTCTTAAGAAAGATAAAAGGGTCTCTCCTTTGATCTCCATTTCATATTTTAAGGATCAAGGTAGATGTATAAGTATATGATTTTGGTGCAGGTACTCCCCGATTGATAACAAGCAGCTGTTTCTCAGAGCACATGGTCTATCTCATTTCAGTATCTTATAGTTAGCATGCTTCATTCTATGATTGGTAAAATAAACAAGGGCTTAGATTACAAGTGTAACTGCTTAGAGATATATCTGTAAGGAATATAAACCGAGGGAGTGAAAACAGGTTAATTAGAGAAAACGCTGGTATCCCTTAACATTGTATTTGACTGTAAGCTTAGGATAACATCAATATCTGTACCTGACACTTGTATGTACAATTCAGGTATTTTTGTTGCTTGCTTTAGACAGGCTTACTAGGGTGTGTGTGTGTGTGTGTGTGTGTGTATAAAAAAAAGAGAATAAATGTTATCCCTCCTCCCCAACATAGCTTGTGGATTGGAAGCATGATCAGAACTGCAAAAAACAAACAAACAAACAAACAAACAAAGGGACTTGTGGTTTAATCCACAAACTTTTCCTTGTGCATAGGAGTATATATATTCCTAGTAAGCCTGTCATCATATGGTGCTTGTTTTAGACAGGCTTACTAGGAGAGAGAGAGAGGGGCTGATAGGTTGGTGCATGTGCATGTCCCCCCCCCTCGCTTTGCTTTCAGGGCTGCTGTCTCTGCATGTGTTGGCTTCGGGGTAAACAACTTGGGGCTCGGACTTGAGACTCAGACTCAAAGATTTGCCAACATCACTGCTTATTAACTGATCAGACTTGTGAGAGCACAGCCACATCCTAAAGCGAGCACATCTCTGCTCTACTATGTAGATTAGAATATATGGGGAAAGGCATGCACTCACAAGGTAGTGTGGTTCATTTCATCTGTTGGGCAGAATGAGGATTATATGTGCATTATAAAAATGTGTCAACTTTAATATCAGTATTGGTAATTTAATTTCAATTAATATGTCTTATTAATTAAAATCATGCTGCATGCCTGAAAATCCCCGTGGAAAATCTGTAGTCAAAACAGTGTACTTGACAATAGAGCTCTTCAACATTCTTCACTAACAGACAGAAGACACAGGCTTAGCATGCTGCAAGTGATTCTCAAGTGTATCCCCAGAATTGCGTACATTCAGGAAACAATTTGGGGTCTGATACTTATTAATAAAAAATAGAAACTGATGCTCAATGACAATACATCTAACAAAACAACAAACAACAAAAAATGGTTCTGCATCATATGGTGCTTCTGAGCACATGTGTCACAAGTAGACACGAGCTATGTTCACAAGTAATGCTAAATCAGGATTTTGAATTGCTGTATGTGCATCAGGCTCTGAGAGCCTGCGCAAAGCTCTGAGTTTAAGCATGGGTCCTCACCTACATTCTTTTCCTCGAAGACAAGACTATCAATGGTTGTTGATCACAAGGACTATACATTCCAGCAATATATATCAGTTGCTTGGGAACAACAGCAAGAGAGTGCTGTTGTACTCACTTTCTAAAGTCCTTTCATTAAGGCAAGGGAGCTGAGCCACCTTCTGTCTGGGGGGGGNNNTTAGAGAAGCCCTTGAGGGATACATTCGAGTGCTTTGATGTAACAGGGTAGATCCAAAATGCCACATTTTAACTTAAAGCTCTTAGTGCTGGTAGCTATGCCTTAGGAATAGCAATTAAACCTTTTAAAATGGAAAAATCCCATTGTGAAGAAACTGAGAAGCTGAAGATACATGGAATCCACCTTGAAAAATCAGACTTCTCTGTGAGTGTGTGGGAAAAGCTGTCTGAGAGTGTGCAGCTAGCAACAAGAAGTAGGTAGCAAGATAATCTCTTGTCAGAACGGCCTTCAAGGCTAAATCTACTGCCTCCCTGATAGTGCACATTAATGAGAAGATGATTTCAGCTATGGGAAGGGAGGGGGTAGAACTTATTTTGGTCTTCCTGAACATTTGAAGGAACTTAAAGCCTGATTGGTGGACCATCTAGAGGGGTCTAGAATGGGATTTTAATGTATAAAAGGAGGTTCAGAATAGAGATGGGATATTCATATTCATCACCACCAAGATAGCAACATTCTACCTAGAGTCTGGGTTCGTGACCTTAGCAGGAGATCTACATAAGGGATTCCTCTAGCAGGGGAACTGTGTAGAGCAGTGGTCCCCAACCTTGGGCCTCCAGATGTTCTTGGACTTCAATTCCCAGAAATCCTGGCCAGCAGAAGTAGTGGTGAAGGCTTCTGGGAGTTGTAGTTCAATAACATCTGGAGGCCCAAGGTTGAGGACCACTGGTGTAGAGGACACAGGAAACATCTATAGAGGACACAAGGAATAGAAGAAAAGCTGAGAAGTAGGGAGCTAGGAAGGGAGTTAAGATGAGGATGAAGATTACAACTGTTTAAAAAAAGGTCAACTTTTTGCCAAAGAACCTTCGTATCAGATGGTAATCTAAGACAAGACAGGCTTCCCACAGGCAGTTGACTGGCAAGTATATGAGCAGAATGCTGCACTAGGCAAATCTTTCGTCTGATTCAACACAGCTTTCCAGAAGTTCTGGTCTTCCTGCATCCCATATGGTTAGGAGGAGGGCTGCTGCCAAGGTTGGGAGGAGTAGAAGTGGATGGTTCTCCTGACTTATTTAGGAAACTGGGAAATAGGTAGATGCCGGAATGGAAAGGAGCAGAATGGGGACTTCTTAATAAAAATTGATGCAAAATCCAGTGAAATGCCATGGGCAAACATCAAAACAATATCTTAGACCTAAATCCTAAAAATATTACTCTTTCATTAACTCTTTACTGCCCCTAAATCTGCCGGAATGGAACACAATGGCCCAGAACCGCAATATCTGAGTAGGATATTCAAACCAAATTTATGACACACATGTGGCCAGATAAGACAGATGCACTAAGTCATAAATCATTGTCAGGAACCACATTCCAGTATACCTTTTTGCTGTTCTGGGCAGAAAACTGATATTGCGAAAAACATCCTGGAATCGGGACTTCTGAGTATGGCAGTCCAATGAAATGCACCTGTCCTGTTTGGCAAAATGGGATCAATGCCACAAGCCCCAAAATGAACCTATGTGGAAACACATAGGGGAGGCCTATATCCAACACTAGATGTCAACGGACATAAAAAATAAAATAAACTATTAGCTACAATATATTTTAGAAGACAATGTGAGGGTGACATTTTCCCATTGTATTTCAAGAAATATGCCATGTTATGAAACATAGCATTAGCAGCAATAATCTGTATACTTTCCTAAGCAAAACTACATAGGTCTGCTTTCAAAGGCATTTATGGAAAACAGTAGATGGACAGGAAGATTTGCAACGGATGAATGCAACCTAATGCAAACAGCACACACTGAAGGGGGACCATGCTCTGAAATCAGCCACACTGAATTCAGTGGACCTTGTTCCCTATTAAGGATATGAAGAACTGCAACCTTAAAACACGTTCAGAAATATTTTGCTCTTTAAAGCTAGAAATAGAAATCAAAACTTACTTTTGCCATTTGATCAGCCATTTGCAGGCGCCCATCAAGTTCACGTCTGATCTGGGCTGCTTGCTCATCTGCGTTGTCCAACTGGGATAAAGAATTAAAAAGGGGCAAGAGGGAATATATCAGAAAATTAATAGTGAAGTACAATGAAGTATGAAATATCTGACATTGTCATGATCAAATCAGAATTCCATCCCTGGAGTAAAAAAGTTTAACTGCACCTCTCATATAAAACAACAGGAAACATAATCTTGTGAAATTCATTCGGTTGACAATGGTACATAAAATAGCAAAGGCATGAGGTTCAAGGCATGCAAATATAAACTATGAAAACTACAGAAAATCAGCATTAGAGATGGTTTAGCCAAATTCCAAATCAGACAGAACCAACTTGGACTGACCACAGCTGGGTCTGAGTTGGTTCAGAGCAGCAATGGGGGGCATCAAGCCACAGTCAAAGAAGACCAGACAGTGTGACCCCAAAAAATGCTGCAAAATATCACTGATGTTATGTGCCATGAAGTCACCTCCAGGCCAGGGCAATGCTGTGAATGAGGGAATCTTCAAAATGTCCAATTATTAACACCCTTGTTTAGATCTTACAAACTCAAGTCCATGGTCTCCTTTATTGAGTTAAACCATCTCAAACATGCCTGAAACTTTCCCTAGGATTATCTGCAAAGCAAACATCATCTTCAAAACAAAATCCCAGGGTTGAGAGAAGGCAAAGGAAAGGAGAGCACTGGACTTCATGTGTGGACAGTTCTGTGAGGGAAGCACACCAGTGTGGCACAACTGCTGTGCTTCAGACCAGAAAAACACAGTAAATCAGCTATCTTCCTTTCTTGTTCTATTTTTAGTTGTCTAACCGAAGCAGGCAAAAGACCTACTGGCAGTTACTGACAAGATTGTAGACTGGGTTTTTTCCTCTTTACTGCAGCCTACTAGTACCCTTCAATAAACCTTTCCAAATCCTCTTACTATAGAATTACACCCTTCATCGTTACATTCACTGTTTATTTTACTGAGTCTCTATACCAGTCTCAGTGGTCAAAATCCTGTTGCTTAGTGTAGCAGACAGCCCACATGTCACTCCTGTCAGTCATTGTAGAGCTCTAGTGCATGAGGCTATGACAGGACAGGAGGGGCGGAGTCAAGAGAAATGGGTGAGACAGAGAATCAGTTAGGGAGAAGATTGTGAAGTGTTTAGACAAGAGATTGGAAAGTTGGTGTGCTGGAGAATATTAAAGAGTTAAAAGTAATAAGAGATACATAGCCAGAATATATTGAGACCATGATTAAAGTGAATGAATTCCAACAAGCATACATGTAATTATATCCATGTTTATTGAATGAGTAATAAAAGAACATCCATGATTTTCCTTATGTGATTAGTAGTAGGAAAGAACCTACCAGGCCATAAATAAACCTTGTTATATTTGGCAGCAATAGTCTGAGAGTCATAATTGGTACAGTGAGGGTAATATCCTCTGGTGGCAGCGAAAAAGGGTGAAAAGAACAAGTTGTGCCCGAAGGTGAACCTGTGAGTGGGGAAACATACAGGGGACACTGGGGGTGCGGGACATTTAGCATAGTAAATCAGACTAGACTAGTCCCATTGAATCAATGGGGACTTGATGTGTCAATTCTTCCATAAGTTCCATTGATTCAAACGTCCAACTCTTAGCTGAAAGTTACTAAGCTATAATTAGTCACAGTTAGAGTAGGCTCATGTAAATCAATGGAACCTATGGAAGAGATGGTTATATTGAGTCAATGGGTATAGTGCAATTTATTACATTAAGGAACAAGATTTTGCCCAGTGGAGTTACTTGAACAAGCTATAAACAAGGCTTCTGAGTGCCAACTTCCTCCCCTGTCACTGCTGTATGGTCGGCAGAAGTAAATTAACTCAGGGAAACCCAGGTGTGACTTCACAGCAGATGCATTAATATGTTTCCAGACGTGCAGTTCCCAATAGTCGTAAATATATATATAAGATGTTTTAAAACTCCACCAAGCACTAATGGCTTTTTACAAAAGAAAACAAAAACAGCAACAATAATTCTCCTTTCTTTTAACCTTTAGAAAAGCTCTCCTGAAATGGAAAACTTGGCACAGTGTTGATTTACTCCTATTGTCTTACGTACAGCTTAACAGTTCCAAACCCAGTGCATATAAACCATTGCAACACTTATCCAAGTTCTTGTTCATAATCACTGAAAAATTTCATGAAGCCAAACAAATAATATGTAGCATATTCAGGCACTAGAAACAGAAGTTTTCTAGGCCTGAACTATGTGCTCAACAGCTCTTGGTAAGCCTTTTTCTTGATCTTCTGTAGAAAACAGTAAGAATTAAACGTTGTGGCAAGAATTAAGTTAACAAAATTTCTGAAATGTGAGTACAGTATACACAATACTGGAATTCGTCTGTAGAAATTTATCAGCTTGCCCTTCCTCCCTACTCTCTCCAGTCCTATTACTTTGGCTATGTCTCCTGTTATCTATATTTATCCATTTTGTAGTTTAACTTCTTTTGTAGATTTATGAAATGGAAAATAAATATTACAAAGAGCATTAAACATTTTTGGATTTGTTTTCTCTAACAGTTTCTTCTTAGAAATTATTGAAGTGGAAATGTACCAAGTTGTGTTTAGGAGTAAGGTACCATCTATGCAATAGCAATACATATTTTGTCCTCCCAGTTCAGACTATCCTTTAGCATCAGTTTCAGGTGAATGGAAATCTACGTGCAAGTTTTGCTATTTTTGTCTTTCATACTAGCATTATCATTAGCAACAAAGCAATATCACAAGGTAAACCATTTGTTTGAATGCACTCTCATTGTGGGAGAAACTGTTATGGACAATTAAAACACTGAGTTCAGATATAATGGTACACTACAGTTTAAGGTTATGGTTCCCAACCTTGGGGCCCCAAATGTTCCTGGACTAAACTCTTAGAAGCCTTCAGCACTAGCTGTGCTGGCCAGGATTTCTAGGAGTTGTAACCAAGTACATCTGGGGACCCAAGGTTGGTAACCGATGTTCTAGTATAACCTCAAAGAGGCTGGAAGCTTCTGTTTCAATTTTAGATTAGCTACAGATTGTGCCAGTTTGCCTGGTATATTAATCTGTGATAAATCAAAGATAGAAACCAAACCTTCTGAACTCATTTCAGCTACCCATGGAGAACAGCACACAGGTAGGGCAGCAGCCAAACTCAACTGGGACTTAGTACAATTATTCAAACCAGTCTATAGTGAAAGACAACACAGCAATAGGAGATCTAGCCCAACATTTACTTCCTGAGATTTCGACAGTGGACTTTTTAGAAATTCAACCTGAACTGCCTTATCTTCAAACATTGCCTGTAATTTATTAAATGCCTTTACTCAACTGAAGTATACAAACAGGAGAATATGCCTTGTTCTAAAAAAAAAGAAAAAAAGAAAAAAAGAATCATTACACTAGCCTGTTCTATTCAGACCTTGCCAATGCTACAGCACATAGCTTTCAGAATTTAATTAAACCAACCATAGCAATGAATCTAATATATCCTAATCTCCTAAAATCCCAAATAATGGAAAACAGGATGGATAATTTCTGCTCAAAATGAACACGGATGATCTTCTCATGAAACCAGCGAGTTATTTTCTCCAATGATATACTTCAGCTTAGAGAAAGCTTTTAATGAATATCCATTCCTGTATAAAAGAGCTTTACAATGGACTTTACTGCATACCATCAGACAAAGTCACAAAATATACAATCAGCACATTGTAAAGATCTACACCACAATCTATAGGCACCAATGATACAAACAAACAGCTACAAGTCTTGAAAATGTAGCTGCTGCTAGTACTTAGCTCATTTAAGTACCCCAAGCCATCAACTATCTGCAATTTTCAGACATACAAATAAAGACAGAGCCAATAGAATAAGACAGAAAATACTGTGTTAAGTTTCAATATCCATACTAGAAAGATCTAGTTGTCTTAGAGCTGCTATGCACATTATGCATCTTTGAATTCTTGACTGCACCACTTCAAATGGCAGCTTGTGGAGCTTGATGAATACAGGAATCTAGCATATCAGTGCAAGAGTGATGCTACACCTTGTGGCAAATTAAGACAAAGAAATGTTGTTTGTTTTTATGTGTCACCAAGTCACTTCCATGTTATGAATCAGTGACCACCAAAAGGTCCTCTCATAAACAGCCTTGCTCAGTTCTTGCATCCTGGTAGTCGGTAGCAGCCACAAAGCTCTCCTCTAACACTTATTGCTAACAAATCAATATTGCTCCTGCCAGTTTTCTTCAATCTATAGCTTTCATATCCATACATAGTAGCTGGGAACATTACAGTGTAGATGATCTCCTCTTGAGTCACAAATTATACATCCTTGTGCTTCACAACCATTTATAGTTCCTTCACAGCTGCTTTTCCAAGTCTCTGTCTTCCTTTGATTTCTTGACTGCAGTCTGTCTGGTAACTGAACTGAGGTATATAAAATCTTTAACAATTCTAATTTCTTCATTGTAAACACTGAATTTATGTATGTCTGTGGACATAATCACTAGCTTCTTAATATTTGACTGCAGTCCTGCTTTTGCACTTTCTTCTTCCACTTTTATCAGCAGTTTTTTTCAAGACACTGCTGCTTTCTGCCAGTAATATGGTATCATCTGCATATTTTAGATGACTGATATTTCTTCCATCTATTTTCAATTCCCCTTCATCTGAATCTAGTCCAGTTTATGAGATGGTCTGTAAACAGATTTAACTGACAGAGATAAAATATACCCTTGTCTAACACATTTGCTTATAGGAAACTGTTCTGTTTCTCCATATTCTGCTCTAATGCTAATTTCTCAATTAAAGTAAAGGTCATACATCAGGATCAAATGCTGAGGCACACCCACTTCTTTCAGAACAAACCATAGCTTCTCATGATTCACATAATCAAGAATTTTGGTTTTATATAGAAAGCAAAGAGATTATCTTCTGAAATTCTTTGGGAGGGCTTTGTACCATATATCTTTCTGATTAGACCATAGTTGCAAAGTCACAGAGCATACAGT